ATATAAAAATATGTATATGCCTATATATATATATATAGGCATATACATATTTTTATATTTAATATATATATATTGTGTGTGTGTGTGTGTGTGTGTGTGTGTGTGTGTGTGTGTGTGTGTGTGTGTGTGTGTGTGTGTGTGTGTTAGTTAAAGGATAACTCCGGCATTATTCTATAGTTTTCTTATTGTCAACCAAGCCAAAAAAGTGACAATGTGTTACTCAATATTTTCTAACTCGCCTACTCTGTCTGCGGCACTTACCCCAAGCCCATTGGTTCATACTGAGGACATTAGTCTTTAAGAGTGGCTCACACATTTAACATTTTTTGATCTCAGTTTCTTGCTAACAGAGCTGGGTAGTGTATTGTTTGCAAATGTGACAAAAAGGAGAAATTGGGGACTATTCTCTGTTTGGGTGCCCTTTGAGAATGTCCTGCAGCAGGACAGTGTGTGTGAATAGGACAAAGTAAACTACAGTGTGTGATTTCCTGTTTTTAAATGTTTTTGGAGCTATAAGATATGTGTTTAGAGGAGATCACAGTTATCTGGCAGAGTTGACCTTTTTGTGAGTTCACACCCGTAGTCCAAATGCATTCTCGGAAATCACTAACAATAAAAGTAGGAGTGGAGGAGAAGAAAAAGCTCCCGTAATGCATTTAACTTCACAGACTGCACATCGTAACAGTATTAGAGGATTGATTTTCCTGTTTGAAGGAGAGTCCACTGCCAATTCTGCTTATTTAAAACTATTATCTATGTCCTAATCCATCCATGTAGACTGTGTGGAGTGCATGGCCTGCTCAGACAACACGGTGAGGGCCGGTCTGACTCCCAAATACATCGACGTGAACACGCTGTGTGAGATGCTGAACTACACCCCCGCCCCGGCCAGCTCCAAGATCTTCCCCTGTGTCCAGGACGCCTCCGACCCCTGCGTCTCCCTGTACGACCCTCCCGTGCCAGACTTCTCTGTCATGAGGATACAGGTAGAACAATCCAACATTACTGAATGATAACTCTTTAGGAGGGAGGGTGTATTTAACATATGGGGATTTGATTTGTAATGCTAAAGAAATGCAGCATTAATAACTCATGACCTGTCACACCTGTGGTTCCCCTGTTATCAGAGAGGGCAAACGTACACACAACCTTTACTCAAGTAGAAGTACAGATACTCGTGTTTAAAAATACTCTGGTGAAAGTAGAAGTACTGACTAAACTTCTTTACTCAAGTCAAAGTAAAGAAGTATGGGCTTTGAAATGTACTTCAGTAAAAAGTAACCACAGCTGTTTTAAAGAGTACCTGACCTCCCTTTATATTAATAGAACAATAATTTCATTGTTAGCTAATGAATGTTTCCATGGTGACCAACGGCAACATGACAACGTTTTCATTGTTCCTTCTTCTTTAGAGAAGACCAGGAAATGATGGATACACGGATCATGTTCAAATCAATAGGCACGCAACGACTCTAAATAATAATGATCACGCCACCAAACACACATTCAAACTAAAGGAACCAGCCTGTTTGGAAAATGTGTTATGTTTCTCTTCTCTGACATGTCTCCATGCTTTAATGTTCAAAAAGCTCTTTATTTTTCTCATACTGCCTGTGCTGCAGCACCTCTTTTCACCCTCTGTCTGAAACCAGAGCCCAGTCTGCTCTGATTGGTTAGCTGGCCGGCCTTTGCAGACCATATGCATGCACAAAAACCTATATCACACACTGATTATAGGAAAGGGAAACCCCCAGAAAGCATAAACATAATAGGGCCACTTTAAGAAAGAAAATACATTTTTTATAAATGACATTGCTTTACTTTAATACAGCCTTTTAAAACCATGAAAATACAACACTCATGCCATGTCACAATATCCAAAATCGAAGGTGATAATTAGTCTCATATCAATAAAATCACAATATATTGCCCATCCCTAAAAGGTCACCTATTATGCAAAATCCACTTCTTCATGTCTCTTCTACATCAACATGTGTCCCCTCTGTGGAAAGAGACTCTGAAAGTTTCAGGAACAAAGATTCTCTCTTTTTGTCCTGATCCATTTATATAAAAACCTGTTTTTGGCCACTTTATGATGTCATAACGATTTTTTTGGCTTGTGTAACCATTAGCCAATCACCAACCAAGGTAACCCCCCCCCCCCCCCTTACTCCACCTGAACTCTCCTNACGATTTTTTTGGCTTGTGTAACCATTAGCCAATCACCAACCAAGCTAACCCCTTATCACCTGAATCTCCTCCTAGAGCACTATTGTGTTCTTTCTAACCAAATCTCTCTCAGAGGGGCGTGGGGAGGGGCTCCTTATTTTCATCTAAAGTAACAGACAGAGAATCAGCACTTTTGAAACAGGGCTGAAACAGAGGGGATTATGGGTAATGCTGCAATGATCTGTTTGGTGTTTGGAGCCAAACACTTCAGAGACATGTTTTGTATATAACTGGGACCTTTAAACAGAGACTCTCACCTTGTCCCTCCTGCAGGTCCCCCCCTCGGTGAAGCAGTACACCGTTGCCCCCGTCGACAGCGCCAGCATCCTCCTGGTCATCGAAGGTGACGCCATGGCGACCTCTGTCGCTGCCCTCTCTGACATCACACTGAGCCGGGGCACCGTCCTGTTCGTCTCGGCCAATGAGAGCGTCTCCCTGCACGTCACATGCCCCTCAGGGATGACCATGTTCCGGGCCTGCTGCCTCCTGTAGCTGCCAGTCCGAAGCAGTGTGTGTGTGTGTGTGTGTGTGTGTGTGTCCATGTCA